CGAATTATTGATGATTCAAAAGAAAGAAAAAAAGAAAACTAGGGTAATCTTTTCATTTCTACTTTTTCTTTCATTTCGTTTCATTTCAGTTTTTTTTTTTTTTTTTTTTTTTTTACATTCATATCAAAGTACCAATCGTGGTATAGAAAAGTACATCAATAAATGTCAGAGGTTCGTTTTCATTTTTTTTTTTCTCTCTCCATAATCAATATTTTACCGTGCACGAATTTTACGATAATTAATTAATTATTATTTACGTTAATCAACAATTTTTTCGTTTCGATATAAGATTGAAACATATTATATCGAATAATATCGAGCGAATTGTTATCTTTTTGTTTTTTTTTTTTGGTTTTATTAACACTATCAACATTAATAGAATAAATAAAACAAATTAATAAGAGGTCTAATTACACATGCAATCCTCTTGTATTTCTTACCTGTTATATTAGTTCGAAAACAACACTCCTAGGGAGCGAATTCCAATCGAACAGATTCAATTACAAATTTGAAATTATTCAAATAATAATAATAATAATAATAATAATAATAATAATAATAATAATAATAATAATAATACGTATACCTTATTAATATGATATTGACAATGATTCGATATTTCTAACAATATAAATTTCATCGTATAATCAATCGATAATTGTACAATATTTCTTTTGAACCGAATTTCTTCCTATTAATTAACAAATACAAGGTGTTCTTTTTTTTTAATATGTGCAAGATTTTAGAAACGAACTTTAGGATTTGTTAAAAAAAAAAATAAATACAAAATGATACATCTGTCCGTACTTAAAACGAGAATTCCAAATATTTATGAAACATCCTGTATATTAATATAATTAAAAAAATGTTCAATCGTAAGATTTGTAATGAGAGTCACGTGACGATTGTTTTATTCTCGTTTCGAATATAATAAATTAATTTTTGAACAACGCGCATGTGTATATATACACACAAAGTATTCGTGTGTATAAATTCGAGAATAAAAAGAAGAAAATAAAAAACAAAAATTGTTTTTAAATGATCCATCTTAATAAGTAACAACGTTACCCATTTACAACGCATGCAATAATATATTTGTTTAACATATACATAGAAGAAAAAACAGCAGCAGATATACAAATATTGTTTATATATATAATATACAACATGGCAGAATTATATAGGAAAGATGATGCAGGCAACGTTCAAGCGACACAAAAAGTCATACAACAAACAATTTTTATAATAGTGTATCATACAAAATACACAATGTATTATTTTTCAATGTATTTTTTAAATGTAGGCAGTGTTTATCATTTGATAACGCGTGCTCAAATTTCATTCGCTTGGTGTTATAACAAGACAAAAAATTTATTGAATCGATGTTAGAACAAATCATATCAAAACAAAAACGAAAGCACACTAATTGATTGAAATAATGGAAAAAAAAAATTCAAATAAAAAAGAAAACAGAAAAAAACAAAATCAAGTATGTATATATATAAATTTCGTAAATAAATTACGCGCGTTTTATTCGCATTCCACATTATATCACACATGCTACGATTTTATATATATATATATATATTTATATAATATTTATACAAGTAGTTCTCTCTGATACGAATGATTATTAACTTTTACGTTTTTTGAAAAAAAGAAAATAAAAAACATTTTTTGATGATTGCATTTTATTTTTCATTTATTATTTCTTTTTTTCTTCATAGAAATATAAAATCAATTGTTTGATTATAAGAAAATGTATTTTTTGTTATACTTATATTAATTAGAAAATTTCAATATTTGTTTCTTTTTTGTTTTCTTTTTTTACGAATTTAAACGATTAATTTTAATTACACTTTTTTTTAATAAAATTGTAGAGAACTACTAATATATATATATATAAATATATATATATATTTAAATAATGCCACAATGTAGTACGTCAGCATAATTAGAGAAACGTGTAAAAGTAGATCGAAGGATTAAGAACGGGATTGGTATTATATCTCAGGATGTGAATAAAAAATCCGTAAGTATTATTATATATATTGAAATAAGAGATATTAGATCAGATTTTCGAAACTTTCTTTTTTTCTGTTCATTTTTTTTTTTTTTTTCTATTTCCTGTACAGCTTGCAATAAAAGCGACAAAGAAAAAGAATAAAACAAAGTGAAAGAATTGTTACGAACGAAATAAAGCTCGATAAAAATAATAAAAAATAGGAATGACCAGTAGGTCATGATAGAGAAGATAGAAATATATATAGAAAGAAAAAAAGAGAGAGAGAGAGAGAGAGAAAGAGAGAGAGAGAAGAAGAAAAACAAATAAATAAAAAAAAGAAGAAATTAAAAGAAAGATTTCAGATAGAAAAAAGACGGCAAAAGCTTACGTACGATAGTTTCAAAATCCCGTTGTTTAATTTTTCCTATTAGATGATTTGTGTTTCGCTAATTTGACCCTTCTGCGTTTTCTTCTGTGTCTGTGTCTCTGTGTGTGTGTGTGTGTATTTCGTGTGCGGGTGTACGCGTAAACTATTTTTTCTTATTTTTTTATATACCTCTGTGCACGTTTCGCACCGGGCAAGTTTCAAAAATGAAAGTATAAGAAAAATAAAAAAAAAGAGAAAGATAGAGAGAAAGAGAGAGAGAGAGAAAAAGGGAGAGAGAAACAATCCTAATATTATTTCTTAATTACGAGCATTTCGTTTGTTTAATATAATAATAATATTAATAATATTATTAATAATAAAAAGAACATA